TGGGTTCTTTACCCCAGAGCTGTTTTCAGCCATTCTGTCCAAGATCATGACAATGCCAGAGTCTTGCTAGCTATGCCTACAAAAACAGTGGCATAAACAGGATGGGACTGGAATGGGTGTGAGTATTATCTGAATGTGATGCAAGTTGATTAAGAGTCTGATACTTTCACTGTTCATTGTTAATCAAGCCATGTGTAGTGGTGGCAGGCTTGGATTTATGGGCTTCATGTCAATAGCTTTTATCTGTTTGAACAGCTTTTGCTTCCTCTGTAACAGTATATGTGAAAGTGTGATGTGCTGCTAACTCATTCCACACACATTAGTTGCTTTTGCTATTATGGCTTTTGTAGAGAATATGTTTATGCCATGAATCTTATTGTGGATTAGCACCTCTTTCAAATTCCATTGTCTTGTAAAAGACTGTGATATTTTAGGTTCAAGGCTTGGTAATCAGAGACAATTGGAATATTGTGTCTGCGTTAGCAGCAAAGCTTGCAGACTGCTTATGCCTGAAAAAACTCTCCACTTGGTAAGAATTCAGCATTATTTGTTTTCCTCAGTAATCTTTTTGTAAATAAAAAAGGAGGAAGTACCAGTGTAGTAGCTGCTGCTGCAGAGACAGCCATGTGTATTTTGCACTAATGACTTAATCAAAAAAAAAAAAAAATAGAAAGCTTGGTCAAATTTTCTAACCACATTTTCAGCCTGCTTGGTATTGTCATCTTTTCTAGTGTTTTTGCTGGTCACATGAGATGGAACTAATATTTCTAGTGCCTCCTGGTGATTAAGTAATACTGGTTTTTAGTTAATGTTTGAGAAAAGAGCATGCTGTGTGGAGTTTTGGTTTTTAATTAAAGGTTTTGTACTTCAATAGTATGCATGAAACAATGGAAAATCTCAGACATCGGAACACTGGATTCTATAGTTTGTCATGTTAGTTTGGCTTACAGTAAAATACTACCTTCTTAAGATAGTGTCCCTTTGGATGCAGAGATGTGTGCATGGGCTTCTGTGCTCTAACAGCATTTGTGAGGGGATATCACATCACTGCAGCTGTCTTTTGGCCTTTTCAGCTTTGCAAAAGATAAATTTGTAGCTGAACACTGTGTCTAAATTAGAGGAGGGAGGTGTGACCTAGGATACGCTTCAACTTTCACCTACAATATCAAGCCACATCCTGATTTGCCTCTATTCTTTGGACTTTTAAAATGTTGCTGTTTCAGTTAAACACCATGGCTTTAGCTTTTTTGTGAAGTCTGGATAAAAGCATAGCTTCTGCAGCATTATTGCAAAAAACTTGCACAGGAGGTTTCTCTCTTAAAGCTTTAGTGTGGAACCATTACAAAAACATGAATAGCTGTTATCTCCTATACTAGGAGTGGAGTGTCTTTCCCCATTCGCCTTTTTGTATACTAGTTGATCTTGGGCTAGAACTGCACCCCATTGCCTAGCAAGGGGAGGCAGTATTTGGTGCTTGTACACAGCCTGCTGATTGCATAGACTTAACCTTGAAAGATCAGTTTCTTATGCAACAAGGTTTTCAGAATGAAGCAGATATTAATTCTAAATGTGTCTTCAGCTGAAGAGCTAACAGGGTTTTAACTTCCTCTTATCAATGTGCATCCTGTTCCAGAATGAATCAACCAGTTTTGCTGACCAAATCCTTTTTTGGAATGGGTTAACATGCCCAACCTGCTAGTCTTAAATTTCCATAGGCTGTCTCACCACAATTAATTTCCATTCCATCAGATAATGTAGATCAGTTTTACCAAATCATGTAAAGAAGTTGTGCAAATCAGACTTTTTTTGGTTAGATTTCTTTCATGGATTTTTTTTTTTTTACTCTTAGTGGTATGTTCTTTTAAAAAGGCAAGCTCCTGCATTCTCCATTCTTTTAGTCTTTTCCCTGGGAAAAAAAGTATGAACCCTGTACATGTGTGTATTTTGAAGCCTTTGGATGCATATGTTAGAGGGGCCTTATTAAATTTATGGGGATGGAGTCAGTGTTCAAAAATCTTGTATTCAGTTTACATCCTGAACTTGTGTATTGGTCTTTCAAGGTTTTTATGAAGAAGCAAACCTGCATTTTAAATAGTGAGTAAACTGAAATAAATTCAGCAATGGAGTATTTTGGCAACTCCAGCTCCCTCTCATGTAGTGCTTGTGACATGGACATTATTTAGTGAGATGGGTCCATTGGTAAGAGAACCTTTTTTCCCTAAACTTCTGTAGATCCACTGTCTGTAGAATGTGACACTCCGGTTAAGCTTCCTTTAGACAGATTGACAGTTACTGTATTGCTTTGTGTTCAGTTGTCTTGGTGACAAGTCCAGTTTAGGTAGGCAGCTCCTGCCTGCCCCGAATTGCTTCTTCCTATTTCTGAACTGATTCCTTGGTAGCAACTATGTGAGGCCATGTGATGGACTGCATCAGGCAGTGAATTTGGCTGGAATAAGCAGTGTGCCTGCAAGGAGACTTAATTTTAGTTTGGTTGTTTTTCCAGAGGTTCATTAGACAAGAGTCCTGCACCCTCTAACTCCCTCCCACCCCTGGCTAAGGATTAGCCAAGAGTGAGCTGAGCAGTCAGTCAATCAGCCAGCACTTCTTCTATATACAAATGGAACCATCTCTTTAAAAATGTAAAGGAATGGCTAGGTTGTGCTGTTCACCATCTGCAAATATACAGCTGGTCTATGCAGTGCATTCTACATCGCTTCATGAGATTTTAAACAAAGCTTCTGAGGTTTCCTTTAACAGACGGCCCAATAATCTTTTACAAATGTTTTCTGGTTGCTTTTTATCCCATCGCTCTATATGTACTCCAGTTGTGATCCCAGTGCTGAACACAAAAATTCAGCTTACAATTTTTGAAATACATCATCACTTTTGGTCTAGAGTGTTAGGTGACTTACATGCTTTTGAAATTAGATTGCTATTTAAGTTTCACTATAGGACTATAGATACTTGTCATCCTCTTGAAAATGTTAGGATGGTCTACTGAGCCACATACACCTAAACAAAAAATCACCATACTGGATACTTAACAAGAGTATAAATTTTTAGTTGTAGCTTCAGGGTGTGAGCTTACTGGTCTCCTGGTTTTATTATTAAAAAATAAATAAATCAATCAGGGTATTAAGTGTCATCTTAGTTTGCTGGTGAAACAAGACCATTTGGCTGGGAGGGAACCTCTAATTGCTTCCAAATGTTTAATCCTTGAGGATGAGACCCTACACTTAGTTCACTTCAAGAATATGTCAAGCTGTCTGTTTCTGACAAAATAACTTTGTTGTAGCTGGACTGGTCCATACTAATTTTCTTTTCTGATGTCCCCATTACTGTCTTAGTTCATTAAAAAAAAAAAAAGCCTTAAGTCACACACAAAAGCAAAAACCATTTTAGTTGCATATTTTTACGGTTGGTTGTGAGTGATTGCCACTTAAGTAGGTTTTGCTTTTCAGCTATACTTACCAGCTGCTTTGTCATATAACTTTTAAGACACTAAGAGGTTTCATCTCAAATCCCATGATAAAACTCTTAATCTTTTGTGATTGTCCACCAGTTGTCGCTGTGGAAACTCTGGAGAAGTAATCTTGCCTTTAGTAAGTCATCATAGCAATTTTGTCAAACCTTTTATTTTCTGTACCAGGTTTTCAGGGCAACTTTCTTAACTTCTGGTGAAACAACTAAAGAAAAATTCTTCAAGAGCATTAAGGAACATTATGTTGCTCTTTGTTCTGCATTTTTTGAAAATGTAATAGTAGTTAACTTCCTTTTTTCTTTCCAGTATTGTTCCACTTCTGAAAGAATCCATTGGAATTTTGATGCAGCGAACTCCTCCTTCCCTGGAAAACGCCCTGCCTCAGTGCTACCAGAGGGTGAGCTTTTAAGCCGTTTTTGCTTCAGGTCAAGCTGCAGACTGAATGAGCTCTGTGTCTATATGAATATTTTGTGATGTTTTTCCAGTAATGTCTGTGAAAGGTTCCTTAGGTTGTGCAGATGGAGGTACCAGTTTGATTCTTAACTTTCTGAAGTCCTAAATTGTATGTAGCTTCAAGTCAATTTGTGTTTTAAAACTTGCTATGTTGGTTTAGAAAAATAGATCCTGAAGCTTTTCCTTTCAAAGTACTTTGTGTTGATACAAAATGAGTAATGTTTTTCTGTTTTGTTCAGTTTTTGTCTCCCTCAAAATCTGGTTCTTGGTAAAGTGAGGTTGAGTAACATTGGAAGTGTATTTATAAGAGTACATAGATTACTCTGGATTTGACCTCTCCCGGTACTCCTGTTTAACTTATCTGTTACTGTGTCATGACCTGAACATTAGAAGCACCTTTGCGAGGTTAATACACAAAGCACTTGTAGAAATGCTGTCTTTCCTCAGGAAGTTACGGGATGGTAGTCATCACATTGAGGGTTTGCTAAAGTTGGACAGAGGAAAAAGAAGAGTTTTGACAGAACAAACCTAAGCCCTCACATAATATTTACAGCAATGTTAATATATTTCTGTTAAAACAATTTGACAGAGATTCTAACTGTTATGGGAAAATTCCTGCACTTGCAAATATTGCTGTTTTAATTGAATGCCGTCTGAAATGTAATAATTGTGACTTTTCTCTCTTGGACATCACTGTTTTCAGAAAAGGTTTCAGTAAAATACATGGAGAATGTAAATGCAGTAAGGTACAAAATCATGACACATACATGCAATCTGTATGTTTTCACCTTCCTTACAATTACTGAGATAGTAATAAGGAATTTAAGTGAAACATCACAAATTGCACAGTGAACTAGAAGAATGCATCGACTTTTATAATGTTTTCTTTAAAAAAACATAGTACAGATAAACATTTTCTGATATATATTTAAATTTGCTTGTGTTTTTAGGTGCAGCAGTTGCAAGGAGTTTACAGTTTACATGATCCACACTTCTGGACCCTCTGTACTGATGTTTACATAGGCACTTTGAAATTATTAGTAGCTCCTGATGCTGATGGAAGGTGGATTCTAAGCCAGACTCACAATATTTTCACTCAGGTATATCTCATCAGTGGAATTCACATCTCGAAGTGTAAACTGCCTGTCACATGATGTGACATTGTAATTCTTATCAGGAAAAACTAAATGTTTCTGGTTTTGGTATCAGTAGTTTCTCTGCTCCAGCTTTGTAGAACAATTTCAAAATACTTAGTAGTGTAGATGGAATTGCTGTACCTCTCTGCACTAGGTTTTTGATGCCAATTAATGGAAATAACAGCTGTAGTTGTCTGAGGTGTATCAAATTAAGTTGAAACCCTATATTGACGTATGAAGAGCCCAGAAAGTACATGAGGCTTCCCTCAAGATAGGGCTTCTCACCACAGACTGGACATCCTTTTCACTGTGCTGATGCTGTATTTGTCAATCATTTCTATACCTCTAAAACTCCACGGTCTTTGCACATTTTGTTGTGTTTTAGTAACATCAATACTGTGGTGATCACTAGCTAAAACGTAACCATCACTTCTTGCGTTGTATATGTCTGGATTTCTTGTGAACACAGAAATTTTATTAGAAGTTGATAGTTCTTGCCTTAAGATTAAAATCCTACAAATTTCAGAAAGATTTTTCTGTTGCTTCGTTATACTTTCAACCATTAAACATGAAATTCACTTTTGGTGCCTATTCCAGTGTAGTTACTGGATATGAATGGTTTACAAGTAGAACCTAGATTCTATTAAGAGAAAATAGAAAATTCTTTTCCAGCAAGAGAACTTCAAAGAATAAAGCTGGAAACTTACTCTCGCTTTTATACCATCCAGAGACAAACATCCTGGTCTTATTCTTGACATTAGAGAACTGTATTTGAAAAAAACTACTACATTTTACCATAATGTCCTTTCTCTGCTTTTGAGTAATGGAAGAGTTCTGTGCCTGAAAAGGAGACAAATATTCCTGTTTATAACCAGTGTTTTAGATAACAAAATCTTGTCAGATAGAGGGTAATACTTTGGAGATACATAAATTACTGACTTCGAGAAGTCAGTTGGACAGTGGGGAAAGGGGGCTTCCAATCGTATTTATTTGATACTGCAAATAAAAAACACTTCTGTCAACAGTTTAAATAGTGCTTGCTTAAATGTTCCTTTCAAAATTTACTACAGTGGGGAAAGTCATTGTGTGCTTATGTGCATGTTCTTTCCCTTGTTCTAAATGTTCTATTGGTCTGCTGCATTGGCAACTTGTGTATGTGATGGCTTAGTGAATCAGTTATGCATCTGATAAGCACCCCTTTTATTTATAGTTTTATAACAATTATTAAAAATTCCAGATTGGAGGGTTTTGGATTTTTTGTGCATCTTGCATACTTAGTTTCTGGACTCTGAGGACAACCACCACTGAAGCCAGTCCTACCATGTGCTGCCTGAGTGCATGAATTCTTTCAAACTCCTGGAAGTTTAAGGAATTTTAGAGTAGTCAGTCATGGGGAACCCAATAAATATAAACACACATACTTGTTTTTATGTTAGAGACTTAGGGAAGGAGGATTTGTTGTTACAAATATTCTAAATTCAAACTTTATTCATGAAGTTTGGTCCATTTTGAGATTCTCTATCACATACAGCTCTTGAGTAGGTGCAAATTAGTCTGAATGGCTTCTTCTGCAGACTGTGTAGTTTGAAACTAAGGGATATTTTCTGGGAAGGACTACACAGAACATTCTCTTACATTAAAACTAATTTTACATCTTAATTCTCCAAAGGATTGCATTTTCCAAGCGAGTTGTTAGCTCTTCAGCTGTTTTGTAGCTGTGCAGGTATAAACAGCTGTGTGTCTAGGAAGCGATTTTGGAGAACAAGGTCTGTAATTTTTCTTAACTGGCCTATGGTAATAAATGGAGGAACAGTTGGAGCAAGTAGAGATTTTTCTCTTTGGTAATATTGGCCCGCATTGTCTTAATATACTCGATAGTTGGTTTTGCCACTCAACTGAACTAAAAGCGAGTTGATGATAGTTGAAGACAATCTGACAGTGCTCAGCCTAATGCTTCAAGATCACATTGCGTAACCAGTGACCATCACAACATTGTTGCTTGCCTGCCACTGAGGTTAAAATGAATAAGTGATTTTTTTAATGCTGTTTTATACTGAATGATGATAAAACTAAGCAAGTCCATCTAAGCCTAGTTTAGTAGAATTCATGAGGAGAGAAATGCTTTCATACAATTCACATACCTTTACCAAAAGCTTTTTGGTGTGTTATGATGTCATGTAAATTCACTGTAGCTCTTGTTGTTTCTTGCTAAAATTTTAGTGTAGGACTGCCTTGATCAACAAATCCCATGCTATGCTCTTGTGCTTAGCTCCATTTTAAACTGACAGTTCTTAATTTCCTGAAAAGCAAGCTGCTTTAAGCTTGTACAAAAGACGGTAAGAATTGTTTTTGTGCAGCTTCACGTGTGACAGATACTTAGAATGAATCGGAAAAGGTAATGTAGTAAAGCTAAGTGAATATGTAATTACATATGTATACTTGACTGTGTGAAGAACTATGCATGCATACAGTGCTCTCAAAGTTTGTAGGTTTCCAGATTGCCAGTATCTCAGTGAATGATGTGCTAAATGTGGAAGATGAGTTACAGAAAAATAAGATACTAATTTTTTTTGCTAGGTAACTTACTGGTGTCAGCTGGTGTGTTCAGGGCAGTTAAATTGCTTTGGCTTTACAGTTTTTTTTAAACTCTCCTTCTCTTTTCCATAGGCAGGAGTAAGACAGCTTTACATACAGATTGATGTCGCAGCCATGTAGTGAATTTCTGAAATTGTGCTGTTGGACCAAAGTTTTCTGTACTGTAATGGTATAACAACATACTTCTCAAGACAGAGCCTGTCTCTACCACTGTTCTGGAATTGACTGAATAGATTTCTGCCCTTGGGCCATGGATGGAGTTCACTTCTAAGGAGTAAATATTGAATGAATGTTACGGATTTTGGGTCTTGTCTTTTTGTGGCCCCTAAACTTTCAATTTTTTGAGGGCTTTTTACTTAATAAGATTGTGGTACTGGAAACCCTGTCATGTCTTCAGTAAAGCTGCTGAAACCACTGCTCATTCCCATGAAACCAGTGTTACCAACAAATGGAAACTTGTTATAATGTCACAGTGGCTGACATGCTTCAATATAATTGTGTGTTTGTACAATTGTTTGTACTTTGCAAACTTAATGAACCAAACCATATTGGGTTTTCGAAGTGCCTTTTATATCAGGAGAGGTATTTGCCAGCATAAATATGGAGCATCAAAGGGGTTTATTACTTTTACAAATATCTTGTATGCAGTCTGATTATTTACTAGTGATGGGGGGGGTGTACTTGCATAACTATAGATGTTAGACTTCCTTTGTACTTGCATCTTACCAAACAGACAGAAAAATTCTAAATGTAAAAGGCAAAGCCTTCACAACAGTGAAGAGACTTGCTTCCAGTACAATCTGGATATTTTGGTGCACATATCTTCTGGAAATTACTGTAGTCAAAATACTAGATTTAACTTCAGTTCTTTGTCTCTGCACACAGTTGAGAGTAATGAGATGTTACATGATGCTACCCATGTTCATAGTCACTGAAACAACAGGCAGTGGAGGGAAGATGCTGGTGGTGGAAGCAATGCTTGAAGTTTTTTATCTTCCAAATTACATGGTGGGAAAAATGAAATCCCTGAATTGTTTATGAAAGCTGGAATCTTCTCGATTTTAATAGGTTGTAGTAAGTTTTATTGAAGTGATTGGTGAGATAACTTTTGCTTTTCTAAATACTGAAAATAGTTGTTCCTGGTGGGTTATATTTGAAATGGAAATAAGGACCATGGTTCATGCTGTTTCAGATTATGCTTCTTCAAGGTTGACAAGTCTGATATTTTTTTACTATCTTACTGTAGCCTTGTATGTTTTCATGGGAAAAAAAAATATTCTCATTGCAGTAAGTTGTTTTTTCCGAAACATTAGTCTCTCATATTTTTCTAGCATTTATAATCATGCTGCACTTTCAGATCTGAGCATTGTTGTCAAAGACAATCTGCTATACTTGGTATTTCAGATGATAATTCCACTATGCTGTAGTACTTAGTAATGGAAGATTTTATAAGAGGACATTGTACAAACAAAATATTGTGGAGTGAAAAACAAGACAGGCATTTATCTGATAAATCATAGCTGCTACTGACTGGAATGGATTTTAAGTATTCTTTTGGTACCTGGTATTTGGTAGTACTGAAATCAAAGCCCTCTGAAGCTCACAGTGTCTGTGTAGTAAGTGCTAGGCACCATGAAAGTACCAAAGATTCATTTTCAGAAATGGTTTGCTTGCCACTGATGTTGCTGAATTCATGATAGAGATGAAGAGTTTCTTGCATTCATTCTGTTGTTCCTGTGTAGCATCTGAATTTTGATCTCTTTTCATGTGAAAACAGGATGGTTGCCAAATTGATAGGTGGTTCCTGAATTTTCCAGATGAGATACGGAAATGTGAATGTTGATTTTGTGCAAAGCTTGGGCTTGTACTCTTGTGCTTGGAACTGAAAACTGGATGTAAAGAAAAATAGCAGTAAAAAGCCACATGTGTATTGCTCTTAAGCTTTACAGGCTCTTACAGTCTTCGAATCCTTCTTTATCCCTACTGCTGGTTTCAGATCCTGTTGGCTTCTCTGGGGGATGCAGGTGCAGAGTGCCGTTTCAGCTGTCTGCGTTGTTCCACATCTCTGTCTTCTGGCCTCCTGCCTGGCTCCCCGCCAGCCTCCCTCCCCATCTCACCTTGCAGATGTTCTCCCAGGCCTGGAGGTCCTGACTGGAGGATGGCATCTGAAAGTTACACGGTGCTGGGTAGGGTGCAAGAATCTGTTGAGCAGACGAGTGTTGCAGTTTAAAATACCTTTTGCATATATTCACAGAAAAGGTAATTAAAATATGGTTGTGTTTATAGGGTGGAGATTACTTACATTGTTTTGTATTGCATATAGACTGCTTCTTGTTGCTTGACAGCATGATTTCTTATTTTTTAATAGTTCATGTTACTACTATTTGAGGCTAGAGAAGATCAGCTGATATCATTTTAATGGCGGGCACCAGCCAACTTCATTGCAGTTGTGTCATGATCAAAGAGCAGGCTTTGGTTTATATCACTTCTATACCAGCGTGCTTTAGGACTGAGTATTCCTGTACTTGCTAAAATACTGTAGTGCTGCCCAAGATACTGGGCTTGGCCACTATTTTCTTAATGAAAACACAACTGCTACAATTTGTTTGAAGTGAGAATCTGCCTGAGTGCCAGTTGGGTTTGTTTGTTGTTGTTTTGTTGTTGGTTTTTTGTTTTTGGTTTTGTTTTTTTTTTTTTAAGATGTACATGGGATGGACAGGGCTCTGAGCAACCTGGTCTAGTTGAAGATGTCCCTGCTCACTGCAGGGGGGTTGGGCTAGATAACATCTAAAGGTCCCTTCCAACCCAAAGCATTCTGTGATTCTATGATCTACAAACATCAAATATGGGAAATTGAGTGAAACCTATAAGCTGGTTATAATTAACCATTGATCAATATTGATTTTAAGAATTTTTTGACATCTTTTTGTTGCTTATGAGGACTTATCTGACTGTTGAAAGCATATGGACAAGTCTGAGTTTTCTAACAAATATAGCACTTTACTATTTTTAAGGACAACTTGATGTTTTTATAGTAAGAAACAGATCATTTGTTTATTAAATATAATTGAGGATAGTGGAGGTAGACTTTAAGTTTTTTTTTGTTGTCTGAAAAATGATAAGCATCACAAAACTCTGCAAAAGACAGTAGATAACATGTCCAGTAGGTAACGACAATCACATCTACCATGTCAGTAAACAGTGACATTTATTTTTTTCATCTACTGAGGGCATACTTGCTCAGGTTTTAGGAAAGTACAAATCATGCAATTGAAAGTGCAGCTTTTCTTATCTTGAGAGTCAAAGCTCCATTATTTTGTTTTGCTAATTACTTAACACTTAGCTTTTAATAACACTATGCTTTTACACTTTATTGGAGATGCATCGCATCATTTAAACAAATATTTCTGTGAATGACCGACATCCAGAGATAGATGAATGTCTGCAGATCATCTGCTAAAACTCAGCTTCCTGGTATCCAGTACTGAATTTTGAACCAAATTTTCAAAGTACAATTTTCTCATGTTTTTATGTAGCTGAAGCTTATTATGGGGCTACTGGTCTGTCTGTGGGGGGTTTTTTTCTGTGACTGAAAACAGTAACTTAAAACCATGTTGTCCCAAAGACTAAGCCTGCAAACTGCATGATTTTTTACAGGACCTACAGCAAAATAGGAAGATAAAACAAGTGCCCCACAGTGTCCATATTAAAATGCCCCAAATGTTTGTCATGGTAAATAACAGTGGAAGAAAACTACTCTTAAGAGTATGCACAGTGAAGACTGGTCCTCCATAGGCTGATCCTGCAAGTCTGTACATATGGATAGAGTTGTTCCGTACATCAGTAGGGCCCCTTCAGAGAGCTAGATTACTTGTGCAATTTGCTAAACTAAGGCAAGAAGTGCTGGTCCAAATAAATGACTCTGCTTTTTATGTAATACTGCTTACTAAAACAAAAGTTTAATTGCATCATTAGTCAGAGCTGCTGACACTGTTTTTGTATAAAAACAAACTGCTGCTACTAATAAAACGGATCTTAGTGACTCTTAACATTCTTAATTTTTTTCCTGAAAAAGCCAAGCCGGGTTTAAAGGTGAAGGAAAGAAAGGGTATCTCCTTTTAACAGCTGTAAGTAAGCCTGTTTTGGGAATCTAAACAAGATACAAGAGGGGAGAGAAGCTGTTGCTGAACTGCAGTTTTCCACCCTTTGCACCCACTGTGCAATCAAATTGTGAAGTTCATGGCTTTTCTCTCACAGTGCAGATTTCAGCTGCAGAAACCTTCATGCTTCTATAAAAGACAAATCCGAATCAATACTCATGTAACAAGATCTTTAAATACCAGTTCAGCACAACAGGTTTAGTTACTAATTAGGCCCTGTGCTGTTTTCCCCAGCAGCCATCAGACTGCCACTTGCTATGATTCTCGATTATCCCATCCCTTTTAAGCATGTTAGGGAATGAGTATAGAGGGATTTTTTTCTTTTCTTTTCCCTTTTGTTTTTAATAATCCATTTCTCTGATCCCTACTACTGACTCAGTGGTTAATTCCTGCTTTACACTTCTATGAAAAGCCCTATCTGCAACTTGTCGGGTTTCCCTTTTGGATTTCTCCCATGACCATCCCTGTTGGGACTTCATTGGCCAGAGACTGCTATAATGTGAAAAGCTGCCAGTTACGCTTCTGCTGTGCCTGGCATGTGAAGACTACATGTCTTGCTGTTTGTGAATAAATATTGGTTAATCTACTTGGCTGTTTCAATGAGCCACAAAAGGTTCCTGCCTATGTGGTAATTTGGCAGAAATGTGTAAAAGGAGTTGGGTATTTCATTTCCCGTGTGCATTGAAAGGCTTTCATGTGTGTGCTGGGATCCTGTACAAGAGTTAAATGAATTGCTACAGTATTTTGGCTGAAGTGTAAAATATTGTGAATAAAGAAATTGCCAAAATCATTCCTGGTAGCATACAGCATATTGCTTGCATTCAGCATATTGCTTTGCCTTTACCTTTAAATTACAGGAATTACTCTTAGCAATGAGCTTAAGTTGAATAGTACAGTATATCAAAATACCTGCAAAAAATCTTAATGATGACACAAGGCAGCTCACTAAAATTCTGAAGACTATGTATGATTTTGTTCTGGAATGCTAATGTTAGTAGCGTAGCCATGACTTGTCCCAAGTGCAATATTAGAAATTTTTAATGTAACCTTTTCTACTTGAATACAGTCTATATAAAATGTTCAATGTCCTATATTGGTGAAAAGATATGGGATCAAATTTCTTTCCAATAAATCTTCAGTTTAAAAAAAAATTTACATACAGGTCTGCTTTGTTGTCATACATACTGTGAAGACTAGTTGAAATAGCAACCCCCATCATCTATTAGGTGATTTTATTTAAAGTGAATTCTTGCAGTCTGTTTTCTGGGAATTGGCTTGAGGTTAATTGTGGTTGCTGCAGTTTGAGTCCAGCACTTCACTAACATATGAAGAAATCCAGTTCTACTTTAAGTTGCAGCCTTCTGAAATAAGAAATTCTGTGCAGCTTCTCCCTCCGTGTCACCAACTGTCCGAAGTGTGAATTCTTGTTTTTCTTGGTTTAGACATAACCTGTCTTTATTTGCTCTCCCAAGTGTAGAGATGGATACAGGCCTAACAGGTTCTGCACACCAATGGTTTCTACAGGTGAGAGAGCTACTAAGTTTCTGGAAAGCTGAAAAGCAAAACTTAACATCTAAAATGCACTTATATAACAATATATGCAGTAGGCCTGATTTATGTACTACAGCAAAAGTGATGCCAGACAGATACCTGGTACACTTCTTCAGTTCTCTACTTGTACCACTTATCCTAGTCATCAACCCAAGACTGATGCAGATGTCAATGAACCGAATCAGACAAAGGGTTTTTAAGGTCTAAAGGTTTCTGGAGGTGTCTGCATGTTAAAAGCTGATACCAGGAGGTGCAGCTTGCAGTTTGTAGCCTCAGGTAAAAGCAGGTCTGTGTTCCTGCAGTGTTGCCTTTTGAAGCAATATACAATCTAACTACACTTAGGCAAGGTCTAAATATTCACAGGAATAACTTTATGCTGTCATGAAATTAAAGATGGAATAAAAATGTAAATGTATCTTTTTTATTTAAATAGTCCTTTGAAATGCATTATTTTCAAAACTGGAACTATCTATAGAAAAAAGTTTAAGCATTTCTAATTCCAGAGGATGCATAGTGCCTGTAACAATCAAGGAATGAAGTGGACTGCCTAATTCCACTCTGGACATCTGACACAGTGTGCCTGAAGCAATCTTCTGATCCGGAGCACCCACACGTGCGAGGCCAACACAAATTGTGTTTTCAGTAATTTCTGTAAGAAAGAAGATTAAATGCTTAATTTATTGACTTAACAGTCCTATCATAAAGGAAAAATTACTCTAAATGCTTAAACCTTAACACTGCTTTCTTAAACCTCAAATTAATAAATCATTGGCGTAGCCTTGGAAGAAGCTTGTTCTTCAAAGAAAATAAAGGTGTAACTTTTGGATGTTTATAAACAAGGAAAGGCACCAGAAGTAGAATACGAAATTCATTCAGGAACTGTGTTCACTTTGAGGAAACAGCTGCTTCTGATTCGTTCTATATAAAGGGTAAAATGAAAGGATTTTCATTTTAACAGTATTTAATGAATAAATTTTTAAAAGGGGGAACACAGCTAGATGAATTTCTAGTAGAAAAAAACTGTCTGTGACAACTGAGTCATTGGTGCTATGATTTCACCATTAGTCTCAATAAACATCTTTCACAGTTTGCTCTTGATTAGTGTTAAGAATTGAAGGTCAAAATCACTGTTCTGTATCGTTGGGTTAACGTAGATTCGTGCTGCTATTCATGTAGAGCAGAGTGTGACCAGTCTAAATAAAACACAGCAGAGATTTTTTTGAAGCTCAGCTGATCTAAAATGCTCAGAATTCTTCCAACTCCTGCAACTCTAATGGATCAAAGAAGCTCACAGTTAAAGATGGATAGAAACAGTATAGGGTTACCACGCTGAGGCTTTGACCAAACCTTGAGGAGCCACTAGTACTCGTTTATCTGTTCTCGGTGAACTACACTATGTTCAAGCTCTGCCAAATCCATCTCATGACTAGGATTTAAGGCAGCCCAATTTCATGGCAGACCAAGAGAATGCTAAGATTAAGAGGAAGGGAGTAGAGTTCAGAGGCTCATCAGTAAGTGTGACTTGAGAGGTGTAGTAGCAGATAGGAACATTGCAGTAGTAGTACCTGATTCTTCTCCTTGGAGCCTCCTGTTTTGGATAATGGCAAGAAGCTGTTCTGCAGCTTGATTCACACTCATGTAGCGGGGCGGCTCATAAATCTTTCTTCCTCTGCAGGGAAAGAAGAGAAATTTCACTTATAACCCATTTCATTATCTCTAGTGTTCTTACAGTTTATTTCAAGAAACTTCTAGACCAGCAAATTGAACTTAAACAGGCCCAGGCTCTCTTTAGACAAGAGTGGAATTTTTAAGGAAGACAGAAGTCTCCTGTGAAACAGCAGGGCCTCCAGCTGACATGATTTGAGTCCTAAAAGCGAATTCAGCTGCTGGAAGCAATGTGCATGTTTTGCAGCTACTCCCAAAAGATGCATTAGACTTAAATTCAAGGGCAAACTACTGTTTTTCTGTCAAATGCCCTGTAGACAGATGATTACAGACTAGAAATACATTCTTAAATTAAATGCTGCCTTCTTTGCCAACTGTGGATTCAAACAGATTTTATTTTGAAAATCCAGAATAAACAAACCTCAACATTCACAAATGTTAATTTAGACCAGAGTTACAGCACGTGTATAAAGTAACCATTTATATTCACCATTGTCAAAACACAGAGATTGCAGAGAGATGATTAAGATGTGACGAGCTTTTCTGAATACAGTTAAATGAACTTAAGAGCATTTTCTTTATATTGCTTATTTAGCTGTTTAAAAAGGGTGGTATGTATTCGGTGCTTCACACTGTTTCTAGCCAGTGTAAGCAAGAATGGATTCAGAACACTGTTTCAGCTATTAATCTATTTTAGGATGGGACAGAACAGTGGTAAAATAACACTTCATTTGCCAAGCAGAAAGCTTACCCCATTCTGACTTAATACTTCTCACAAAAACAGGTGAACAAGAGATGATGCAACTTCATTCAGTTACTGTAAATAAAACCAGGTCATATTGTAATGAACAAAAAAGTTCCATTCCTTGGAAGAAACAAAAGACCGTGGCCACTGAGAAGTATATGAGAAGGCAGGTAAGTTCAGTATTAGACTATGAGTAAAGCACCTTTGTTCCTTGTACAAAAAAAACCCTTTGTAAATACATTGTGTGTTTACATTTTCAAAATAGTGACTCACTTCATTAGGTTCTTCAGAGACTGCTCCTTCACTTTAATATCTGTAGAACAAAACACGTATTAAAACGCAGGTTCCCTACAAACTTCCTACTTAAGTTTTCTATGCAGGTAAAGCTTAATTTAATTAGCAGATTCTATACACTTTTAGCTATTACAGGAAAAAGCAATGTGGATTACATTCTACTGTTTCATATGTTAATTAATCACAAAGTACTGTGATTTTATGCATGTGATTTTACACCCAAAGATAGGGCGAGTCTCACAGGTTTCAGATCAACATAGACAAATAAAAATACTGCTAAGTATACAAATAGCAGGCATATTTACCATAGGATAGCTAAATGCCAGCATATTTAAGCACACCAGGGTATTGGGACTGCTCTTAAATTATGAATACCTTGTGGTCCCAAAAGGTAAAATTGCACGGCTGATCGGCAGTGATTACATCACTGCCATGCAGGAACCTGACTTCTGTTAGCGCTTCCTTCCTATCCCAATCAAAATTTAGAACAGCCTTCTGTTGTGGGGAAAATAAAAAGGCTTGGGGCAAAAATGAAATATAGAAGGGGTCAGGTAAGACTCTGCACATCTACAATTTTAGGAAACTAATTGACTACAATCTCTCCAAGAGGCAGTCAAATGTTATCTGTATAAAACATTATCGTAGTGAAAGCTGGATAGATTTTTAATCTTGATTTTAAAAAAAGGTATTGCTTAAGTTATACAATCAACTCCTAAACCAAAGTGACTCTGAAGAAAGGGGTTTAAAATGCAAAGCTGCAAGATTATTAGTACACAGTTTACCAAATTGGTTGTATGTCCATGAAGTCACTTTGAATTCAGAAGTTTATCGGCACCTACCTTTTTATGTCATGTTTGCTTATCTGGTAATCTTGTCTAGTTGGATAAACAACCAATATACAGACCAGAATGACCAAGTAGTATTCAGGGAACAATTAATTTGGAAATTGGTAGTTTTTGGCTGTGAATTACAATTAGATGCAGGTACTACAACTGTCCCTGAAACATGAGATTTGTAATTCAATTTTACGGTTTCAAACTTTCTACTCTCACTACTGTATAAAAAAAATAAAAAGGGAGATTTCTACAAAATATCTAAAGAATACTTTCTTTTAACATACTACAGTTCTAATAATCCTTGTTTAAAACACTTGTGAAGTCATCTTTCTTTAAAACAAATTACCAGAATTCTGATTGTTAGCCAGTTTTGAAAACAACCAACTTTCAAGGCATTGGGAAGTCTGATGTGCAGTGATGCTTACACATTTAAATTGTTCCCTGCTAGGGATCCTCCAGTTACCACAGACTTTGGTTTTACTTAAACTATTAATTTATTTAGCACTGAGAGATCCCATCTGTGTCTGAAAGATCATACAGAAAGGTATATAACTATATATACAAATATGCAAGTGCCTTATAGTTTATATGCAGGCAGTTGCATAATCGTTAAGGAGTTACCTAGACTAGTAAAGTTACTCAGAAAGTGTCCTTCAGCTGAGGACTGCTGGGTAGGATAAAGATCAGACAGCACCATGGGACAGCCTGGGGACAGTGGTCAGCTAGAAACGGTATTCTGTTTCAGCTCCATGATGAGCAAAGATTTTTTACAGCACTGAAGCTTCTCACATGACAATCACCTTTTGCCAAAACATCCTTAGATATGACAAAAAGACTATCACCCTACAAAACAGAAATGTGGTTAAATGTACTATTTAGCTCGCCAGAAAGTCACATGTCTTGAGCTCTAACCTAATTAAATCAATAAAAGACAGCTGCTAGTCACTGCAATCTGATTTGGATCCTGAGCTAGATCTAGCTTAAATTCACAGTGATCTTTAGAGTAAATATGGGCCTCCTGTTCTTATTTGACTTCTACAAAGGCATAATTTGTTACAGATTTTCTGAAAAGGAATTAAGAAATTCCTGGCCACCACAGTATGAACAATGGCTGAACTGACTCTAAGTACACATACACTAACGTTCCAATTTTTGGTATATTTTCAAAGACATATCATAGCTAAGAACATTTGTTTAATCACAGCCTTCATCTCATGCCTATCACTATTGTCTCTGGATGCTGTAGAAGATGCTAGCTAAGGAACTCGGGTAGCTGCTGCTTACCAAGTAAGCACAGTGTGTGCATTCCATTCTGCCTGTTCTTCTCGATCTTGTCAAAGAAGCTTTCTGGCTTCCATGTATCTGTCCAGAAAACTATAGAAACTGTCTCTCCAAAATTGTACAACTGTAAACCAAAGCAAATGCAGTAACATACATACACAATAAGAAAAAATAGAGCATGCAATAAAACGCTATGAAAACCATGAACAATTGCAACACTGAAAAGTCCTGAGCCTAGTTAAGGAAGAAGTTCCATACCACAGGGAGAGTACTCTCCTGTAACATGCTTAAGTTTGCTCTTTCATAGATACATAACAAAACATTGCATTAAAAATAATGCTTCCTTTAAAAAAGTTGCCCTGTTCTTCTCGATCTCTTGACTAGTTTTAGTGCATTCATTTGCATTCCCTCTTTTTAACAAAATCCGTAATCAGTGAACAATTTTTTCTTCTTCATAATAGAGATGTGCTGCTGTTCTTTTACTCTCCAAACAGTAAAGCATACTAAAGAACAGCTAATGAACCACCTGTAAAGTTTTTACCTATCTCTGCATTCACCCTTCCAATGTATATTAACTTTCAATCTACCTTCTTATTCGTTGTTACTTAATTCTGAAGTCCTTTTAAAGGCAAAAACTTTGTAAGATTAGCACCAAAATTATTACTTATTATTTCTTATTTTGGTTAAGGCTAGGCAACTTCTAATAATGCCATAATACTTACAATGTTTTGATTCTACTGATACAGTAGTATTTGCATAAAACCAGCACTTTCCTGCAGACGAAAGCTGTATCACGCAAAAGAAGTTACAGTCTAAAGAGACAGTGGATATGAAGATCTGAAGACAGGGACAGACTGCACAAAGCAAAGAGGTGCAATGTTTTTTATGCACATACGGTAAGAAGAATATTGCTAGCAGATTCTATGTCTAACATACTCACTGATCTTACTCTCAATCCTAACACTACTTATTACTGTAAGGCCCTAATCTCGGTGAAGACATTTGAGGCAATAGCTTTGCCAATCATTTCCAGTGATGCAAAAGCAAAAGTCGTATGTAACTAAGGCAGCATTTGGCTTGGAAGTTTTTGTAACCAACTTGAAAAAGAACAAAACCATGCATCAATTTTGGCTAAAAAAGCTCTGGAATGAGGCCATCCCAGATGGATTTTACAGCTTGCCAATATTCTGTCTGCTCAAGCCCACGAAAGAAACGACTGTACAGGCTAACGTGCCCCCCTTCTCTGTAAACCTGGAAGGAGAAACTTCTTTTCCAAGCCCACTACGGGAGGCAGTGTGTGTGCTGTTAGCAGAGAAGAGGACCCTATGTAGAAGCAGCCCTGGCAGCTCTGTGCCATCTGGGGATTCTCCTGTGCATACTTATTTTACTGTGGCTTTAGGTTGCGGTTTTAATTCTTTTACGCTGGCAGAGCAGAATTTGAATCAAAGCAGAAACATGTTTGTTTTCACAGGACCAAAAGCTCAGATTTTAACCATTCATGCTGATAGGAACAGCGTTTATTCAGAGATTCCTGGAATATTGCTGAAAACATTTCCTCTTTCAAAAACTTCGTTCTAGCTCAAGGACAAGAACACACAGCGTACATTTCACAACCTAAAGGTTCTTCCAGTAAACTAAATACAGGTTGAACCAAGTGAATTGCTCCTGATATAACCTGTTAACTATTTCAAGACAATGTTCTAGAAAAAGAAAAAAAACAAGCTATGTTTTGCCTGTTTTTCATGTGGCTAGCTAGAACTCTTTCCATTTTGTACCCAATCTGAAGAAAAACTATTAGAACAAGGAGGTTCTCTTTCTGCCCTTCGCTGTTAAGAGTATCCGGGAACAAGTGAACCTTTAACCTCATTGGTAGTATACCTTCAGTCATCAACAACTGATGAAATGTCTGGCACCAGCCTAACTAACTAGCTTACCATCTGTCACCTGAAAGCCACTGCAGTCATTTTCCAAACAGCAGCAGCCCTCCTTCAGTACAGAAAGTGGCCTCAATTAACCTCCAGTCTTACCCCACTCCCCTTGGCATTTTGATAACCTGAAGGAGAGAAACTTTTATCAAATAAAAGGATGTGCAGAAATGGGCAAAATGTTACTATCTGATAAGCGTTCTATTAGGAATCAGATCTTTTAAACCACTCTACCACATATGAAAAACAAGTTGGGCATTCAGCTTTATATCCTACAGCACTTGTTCTGATTGTTCTTTTTCTCTTTTCCATTGATCATTACAAAGACTCTCCATCATCTTTGCCAACAAGATGTTAAGCAAGTTATCCTTTTTGTGCAAGCACTGCCAGTCAGATTCACTGAATCTGTCCTTTGTTTACCATTAAAATTGCAATCTGAATGTCAAAAAAGAATAAAATGTTTATTAAAATGGCCTGCCTATTCAGTAGAAATAACTTCAGAATATCTTCACAATTGATTTAAGGGAAAACTGTACTTACAGTCTCACAAAAATACACCTGTTTCCTCAGCACCTGGACAGCACAGAAGTAGCTTCTACACCAACAAGATGGGATGGGGTATATCTTATTAACCTCCTAGAAATGCCTTTGCAACTTCTACCCCTCTACGAACTAAACTTCTAAAGAATAGATTTCCTAGCATTAATGCATTCATATTTTTACTTTAATTTAAAGAGGAGAAAATACTACTTTGGAAACTTTCTGGTACACCAACAACCTATGAATGCTATGGAACTGAAGCAATAAATGGATACTCTTGTGCTTGACTACCTGTAACCAGTTACCTTACAAGCACTTCTAGAGACTCAAACAAGTATTTCTTTCTCCTCCAGTATTTTATCTCTGCAGATATGTGACATTTATGCAAACCTAGGCACTGCTGTTCCACCAGAGCAAGCCTGCATTAAAGAAGCAACACATGACTGTATCAGAACTTGCATTTTTAACTCTCTCCCTGTACCTCATGCAGATTTGATTTGTTCCTAATAGTTTCCTGTGCTGTGTTCTAATTCCTACCTCCTGAAATCTAGAATGAAGTATCAGACTTTCAAGAAAAGCCTTGCTGTAGAGAGCAGTAAATACCAAAAATTCCACTATTACCCTAAGGATTCAGGAGTTACACAGGACAGCAGGTCCACTAGAGACAGAACCCACTGAAATTAAAAAAGATTATTTCCATCAACCATAAAAGACTGAATAGGACCCCAAAATTCCAGAAATTGGAATAAAACTGTGACACGTGTTTGTTAACCAAGGTGTACTACAACACAACTAAGGATTAATGTCACGCTTTGAGATTGTTAAGAAGTTTAGTATGACAATGAAGAGCTCTGTGTATTTTTAGTGAAATGATCATGCTGCACAGTTGCTGGCACAGCCTTGAAGAGACGCAACAGCAAATGAAGTTTCACAGCAGTCTTCTGTGTGCTGCACTCTACATTAAGCAGCTGGGGTTTAGGAGTGGGCAAGATCTGTTCTGTACAAGCTAAAACATCTCAAGCATCACACGTGCGCTATTCATCAGATTTGTTAGAGTGCCTACGTTCTGCCCAGGCACAAAAGTGCCAGAATTTCAAAGGGGCTCAGTGAAATGGTTGGACAGACATTTTGTGCTCTCAGCTTGGAAACTAACCTTCTTACCTTCTCCCTAATGCTCAAAAACTTCACAGAAAAATTTCAAAATGTCATTTTGAAAGATCTCAGTCTTTAGCAATACCTCTTCCCCCTGCCCAAGTAGTAATTTGCTTAAGCTTTGTCCACTTAAATTTTGCAATGCAATAGCTGAACTCAGAAAAGGAAGCCAGAACTTTCTACTCCGAGGCAATGCTCTGCTAAAGTTTTCTACCTCTCACAAAATACTGTGGAAAGCTGTTCAACACACACTTTTATCACTTCAGAATAAGCTATATCCTCCTATTTTATTTTCACACATAATATGAAAGAACGCCTGACAACTTTTGGTACAGAGGTGCCTGTTTTCAGTTAGTACTTTTAACCCTTCTGTTAATATTTCTTATTGTACTTGTTTATACAAACAGAACTGATTGCTAATTGGAAGGCCAGAATAAACTATGAGAGAAAAAGTGCTGTACCATGATCTGAGCTTGGAAAGCCTGCATGCAAGTGAAATTTCAATGAAACTACTGAGCAACTTTGTTAACAGCCAGTTTGAATGACATCAGACACCTGAAGGTGTCCAGATCAACAGTCCTCACTTAAAATAATGTGGTGGCTAATCATCACAAAAATATAGGGCATAAAAAGAAGGAACAAGCTGAGACTAAATAGGGAAATTAAAAAAGGAAGATTCCTTCATCCCCTCTAAAAAGTACTAAAGCAAGCAGGAGAGAAGATGCGAGATAGTATTAAAGGGCAGTAGGGCATCAGCTGCAGAGAAACCAAGAAGTAAACATTTCAAAATACAGACATTTATTTTTACAGCATCTTTCCCAGAATTACTGCTCTATCAGCGCAATGGTGACAAAGCAATTCTTCACTTACAAGCCTAACTCCTTTCCTAAAATTTCAGACAGCTTCAAAACTAGATGCATGTCAGGTGAAGAAGCTAAAAAGGAGTTTCATAATCACATTTTTCAGACCTGGCACATGTATACAGACACAAATGCCTGTAAATCCTGTAGGACTGAAACACTACTCAGCTATGTTTTGTGTTCAGATGGTCACACATTACACTGCAGATAGTTCTCACAGGACGGGTGTGTTCTGCAAATGAAGACACTGCACAGCCTGGTCACATCCCACTGACAGACACCAAGAGGCTTTTTCTCCTAAGGCTATTCCTCAATGGAATGTGGAGACTACAGAGCACCTTGCATTATCCCAGGTTGCCTCTTGATAAATCCCAATGAACACACAGAGGAAAGCTAAGACATGTTTTGTTTATCTTTGTCATAAGAGTTTTGATGTGATACTATGAAACATTCATCCCCAAAAAAGGAACCTAACAAGTCAGATTTTTCCCCTTATCTTCCGTAACCAGTTAACAACCCTCCAGATCATATACATCAGATTAAAGGGCTCCTACTGTTCTTCATATTATATATTGTTGCTAGAGAACAGCTTAGCAAGTAGGACAATCATTGACAAAGAGGTAGCCAAAATCAGTCAATCTTCATTT